TCCTGACAGTCAGAGCCAATAAGGCAGTGGAGGTGAAAAATGTGCTGTAGGTAAAAAATTATTTGTTTTGCTCTTCCTACCTGAAGACCAGTGGAAAATCCAGGAAAAAACTGATACATGTTTATTTTGAAACTGGGACAAAAATGTAATCGCATCAGTGCTGCTAACCTTTCCAGCTAGCTGTTCTTTTGCTGCAGTTCTATGCAGTTGTTTGCATTAGCTACATACCTAAGAACACCAAAGAAGACGAAACATTTAAATGTGCCAAGATCTGGGACCATGTAAACCACCAAGGTGACATCCATAGAATCTGGACATAAAAGTAACAATGATCAATGAGCCTAATTCTGCTCTAGTTACTCTGCTATGAAACCATATGAAAGCCAGGGGAAGTTGTACCTGCGTCTCACTTGTCTGACCTGTTGCCATATCTCTGCACAGCTTGCCCAGTAAGGCTGTACACAGAGAAACCTGAGTAGAGAACTCATATGTGGGACTATTATGACAGGAATGAAGAGAGTTTTGTGAAAGAAGGCAAGAGTAATATACATCATACACATTACAAAATATTTATGAGATATTACATCATACAGTATGAGCGTATGAGTGTGTATGTGTGTAATATATATGTGAATTACAACATAACATGAAAATGTGAGGGAGGAGAAAGGAAGATACTATTAAATTTGCTAAATGCTTTAATTAATAGTATATCTGCACAAGCACATGGGAAAGATAAGAAATGAAAAAAAAAAAACAATTACCTGAAGAGATAGCACATTGGTTATGCTCCTTGACATACTAGAATTATGGACTTCTCCATTCAGCTTTACATTAGGTTCATGTTCAGTTTGGGTGAAGAATCTGGAAGCTGTTACAAAAACATACTCCCTGCAGAAGCAATGCACACAAACATACAGGTGCACACATAAATAGAAGGGATTTTTAAGTTGTTATTTTGTCTAGAGACACGTGTAAGTCAGGATTCATATTCCACCCAATATTTTTTTCATACTTGCAATCCCCTTCATCACTTTGTTCTTGGTTTAGAATCTGCCCAGTAAAAATCAGGCTAAAATAACATGAACTGGTGGCATATATTTGGTGTAACCCTGCTAAAGTGTGCTCTTCTAACAGGAAATACTACCTGGTTGTCCCCTCTCTGTCTCTGAGGACTCAGCAAGAAGTGCACCTACACCTCCTTGCTTAGAAAAATCAGCTCTAATCTACAAGCAGCATCAGCCATGCTGTCAGCTGCAGAGCAAAGTGCAGGAAGCCAGACAGATGCCTGCTGATACAGGGTAAATCAACAAGACAAGGATGGGCTCAAGGTGGTGGAGTAACCTTTGTGTGGTTTCACTTCAAGTTAGCTTTGCAAGTTCTTGAAATGAGAAAAAAGGAGAAAGAAGAAAGCAATGAGCTAGGCTGAAGGCTCAGTCTGCCCCACAGAACGTGGTCTTTTAAAAGTCATTAGGATGTTCAGGTTGTTAAAGGGCAAACAGGGGTCATCCCTTGAGCAGCTGAACTAATGAACTCTGGGTGTCGGTGGGTTTTGGTCTTATGTCTTTTCTTCCAGAAATCTCAGCATCCCACCCAGACTTTCAGGACCCCATTCTCCTCTGCCCACACTGCCCCCAGCTCCTGCCTGGCAGCCCACAGCTCACAGTGAGGAGAACCACAGCCGCTGCTCCCTGGCAGGAAAAGCAGCTGATGTAGAGCAACACCTGTGAAACCTCAACTTACCTGTGCTTAACCCACGTGTCTGACTCGTTGGCCCTCTCAGTGTAGTTTTCGGGAAGAAAACCCCTGCAGCCGGTCCGATGCGAGGTCCCGATCACCCAGCCTTCACTCACGTCAGACTGCTGCGTCGGGTCAACGTAGATGAAGTCCCCGGTGTTGATCATGAGTTCATCGATGTTCTGGGGCTTATACTGGAAGAGGGCCCTCAGCGTCTGGGGAGAAGATGCAACAGAGTCAGACTGCTGCCCAGAGCCCACTACTGCACCTGCCGCAGCCTTTCAGGGGATGCTTGTTCAACTCTCTACTGGACACGATGACTGGTACTATTTTCCATTCTGCAACGTGCTCTTTAATGGCACTTGAGCAGAGAAAAAGGAAGACATGACTGCATTTGCAGTGTGTGTAAAAATAGGCACTTGGTTTTCGTAAAAATAGGCACTTGGTTTTCATAAAAATATTTTTTTCCTGTAAGTAGTACAGATTTATTTGAAAGCAAACATAGCAAAAGTGTTATCAGCTATTTTTGTGTTTACTTGCAGCTCTCCTGAGTGTGACCAAAATCCAATATGAGATTTGTGACAAGGTGATATACTGATCTGACTAAATAGTGTTGATCATTCCATAATTTAAATTTGGAAATGAGAACTGGAAAAATGTTGACTGGTTCTAAGAGTCTGTTAAGCAGAAAATCATCGGCAAGAACTATGTCCTGCTCACTGATGTCTAATCTGTGCAGTTTTCACCATGGCTGGACCAATCAAGAAAACTAATTTTCCTGAAAGGAATTTTGCTGCAAAGCTGTGGTCTGACAAATCTCAGCAAATATTCAAGGATTATCTTTTCCTATCTCTTCTATTTTCTCATGTGATGGCAAGATTATCTTTTTTCTGCTGGAGTTTAGAATTAGACCTTGCTGACATGCAGGCCTACCATAAAGGTATCTTCTACTGATTCATGAGTACAGTTTTTCTACTCAAAAAGATACTTGAAACAACCATGCTTTTTGAAACACTGTATTGTGCATGCACTGATTTTCTTCATGAAAAAAAAAGGCAAGATGACTGTAGCAAAGAGTCCGGATCGTGGGCTCAGGAAATTAAATAAATCTGATGTCAGTACCTGGTAATGCACAAAACGCATGTCCCGTGAGTAAAGAGCAGCTACCCACTGGCAGCTCTCTCCTGGGTTAATGCATTTGGCCAATTGTTCCAAAGTCTTCTGATGATGAGGATAAAACTTGTGAGCCAAGGTAAGGTGGAGCTGCTTTAGACAAGGCTTCACATGGCAATCTAGGAATGAAACAATCACATCACAACATAGAAGTGAAGGTCATTTAAAGATCTTCTTGGTTTACACTACATGCTTTGCATGATGCAGGAAATACCACAGTAATTGGTAGTAGAGTAGATCATAGTTTTGCTGTATAACGATTTTGCAGAATGTCACGGTTTTAATCATGCCAGAACAATTCACAAATCTGGATTGGATTTGCTCCCTGGCTTCAGCTGGGAGAACAAAATGAACAGGGCTTGAATTCTTCTCCCAGTCTGAGATTTATTGAACTCGTTCCTCCCAGGTGAAGCTATCCTGGGGCTGTGTCCCTTCAGTCTCCACGGGTGATGCAGTTTCCCTTGGATGTCACTGGAGTGGGGATTAGGACCTATTTCTCAGGGATACAGTTGGGCCATCAAGTTGGGCCATAACACCATGGGGATGGAGGTCTGGGAATAGGAGTATTATATCTCTGTCCATCTTGGATATCCTGATCAGTGGCCTATCAAGTTACACAGCCAACAATTTCAGCTTCTAGACAAAAGAACCATGTCTTCCAAGTCTAAAATGCGCTCCCCTAGCCACATTATTTTCAAGTCTGTAGAAGGAAAGGGTGTTTTCTGGCAGTAAAACATCAGCTAAGATCCCCTGGATATACAGGAGATGTTTTCAGTACCATGCCTAAGCATTTGTGCTACGACCCACCCATTTTCCCTTTGACGTTGGTCCTACCTGCCAGGGATGAAGCCTCTGAAGAGAATGCCAGAGCAAACTCTTTGAGGATATTGGCATGGCTGTCACTAATGAAGAAGCCAAGGTAGCTGGTGGATGAATGTAGTGTTAGGGAAATGGATGGTGGAAAGCACTGTGAAAAGCTGTCACCGACTCGCTTTAAGGTGTCATACAGTAATTCCACTTTCTGGTCTTCACACTGAAAGAAAATAGACGAGGAGCAGGCTTTACTGACCAGCTCAACAGTTGCTATCATAGCCTGTGTTATACAGTAGTATCAGAAAACGCTGTGGGCATTAGACTTCCTGAGAAAGGCAACACACCTACAAACTTGCCCGAAATTCCTAGTATTAAAATCAGTACTATTGGACAGTTTGATCAGCACAGTATCCTGGTGCTATCATAGGAGATGGAGCCATCTGCCAGGATGTGTATCTAGCCTGGGCAGGAAAAGGACAAAAGATTTTACTGTCTGACAGGTGTGGAGTAACATGTCTGAAATGAGGCAGGGATCATGATTTCCCTCTTCATTTCTAAGTAAGAATTTGTGTTCTCATTATCCTACAGTTATTAGCTGAAATTGCTCCTGCTAAAACCTCAACATCTCAGATGCTGAGAAGCATACCTAGCAAAATTCATAAACCATTTTTGTCATTATGATCCTTAATCATCTAATCACAGCAAATTAAAGGATTGTACAGAGCCATGCTTCCACAAAAAAGTGGCAATTAAGCAGTATAAGAAGTGAAGAGACAGAGATGGAATTTGCGCCGTCCGGCCAAAGACAGGAACATTAACGATGCTCCACTTCTGCACTGATTTATTCTCCTTCACAGAGCTATTGGCTCCATTTAGCCTTTACCCTGGGTCAAGCTGCTGAAGAGGAAGAGCAGAAGAGAAGAAAGGAGCTCCTCCTTCTTTGACCGTCTTTCGAGCAATTTCTCAGGCCACGGGGAGGTGGAATGCACCAAGGGGGCACTGGACAGACTGGGCTGTGGGGGGACAGGGGTGGATGGGCAAGTGCCACACAGCAGACTACTCTGGGGCAGACCAGTCTGGGAGCTCTGGAAACAGCAGAGGGCCAAGTCAGGAGCAGGAGGTGGGAGCCAGGTCAGTGAGTCTCACTTCTGCCTGTGAGGCTCCCAGGTCAGCTCTTGCTGACAGCCAAGGAGCAGAGAAGAGCACCAGAAGGTGCATTTATCCCTAAAAATATGCTTCCTGAAATGGGGCTGAGATGCACGAGGTGAGGGTTGCAATTCAGTTGCCTCTTCTAGGAGCAGGCCTTTAAACTTGACACCTTTCAAGAGTGTGACATTTGTTACTAATTAATGATTTTTGTTTCGTACAATTGTGATTAATGGCCACAGGGTACCAGTCAATGTTTTGTTACAAGATACTCTTATTTTCACTGTCTATACTTAGTGGCATGGCTTAGTATAAAAAAATGAATAACAATAATTTTTGTCCATCTGCCCTAGCTCATGACTGTTTCAGCATATCTCAGCTGCAGCTAATGTTCACGTGCTGCACCATCAACATGTGAAAACTGGATTCCATGTGGCTCCAGAGTTTTTCCAGACCGTGACTCGTTGCAGGTCTTGGCTGATACTGGCACATTCACCTATGCAAGAGAAGCAGCTCTGCTGGGAAGTTCTCTAGAGGCCACCACTTCCAGAATTCTTCAGAAGGCCACCTAGGAGAACAGTAGCACCTCTAGAACCAGAAAAGAGCCCAACAGGAGTCCAGCTCAGGTGCCTAATTTTCATGTTAAATTATTGACAAAGTGACTCAACTGCACTGCCTGACTCCGATGTGTCTTCCCCTGTTCCTTCCATCCCTGCGTGTTCTGCTTCTCTCTTTTTCACAACATCCAAGCTTCAATAGAAAGAGCAAAGACTGGGACAGGCCACTATAGCTATGAACTTCTGGCTAGGTCTCTCTGGGGAAGGCAGAGGTGTCCCTAAGATTCTCACAGGCATAATACCAAAGTTGTCTACATCCTATGATGACGCTGTCACTGCTGCACAGCTGGCTGAAGGCAGCTGCTGCTGCCCTAGCTAGGAAGGCTGAACATCCTAGATGGATACAGCAATGGGCATGGTCTCTGACACCTGCTGATAGCTGCATGTAGGGAGCAGTGCTTCCTGCTGGCAGGTCAACATGCAGCCTGAACTGCACAGGGTTGCTCTAGACAGATGCTAGACACATGTCACTCAGCTACCCCAAAGCATCCCACTGGCCACAGCATCCAATTTTCAGGTATCCCAAGATTTAAGGTGGGTAGCTAGAGTGGGTGGTGGGAAGAAAGCCCTCGGAGCCTACGCAGGGGCTGAACATTCAGCTGTTAAGCAAGCATGCCTGGACCTGGGTCATACCATTTCATCATCAAGGAGAAGTTCTGGTGTAAGACAATGGCAGGTGGCCCAGTTTCACCAGTAGCTGCTATTTGACCCTTGCACATCTTTTGTGCCTTACCGTGAAGAAATCGCAGAGAGTGATGTGAGGAAAAATCTCATGGGCTCTGTTTTTCCCGCACTGGCGCTTGCTCTCCTTCCAAAACTCTTGTAGGTGGTTACGGAAACGGCCGGTGGGACACAAGTAAAGAGCATACTCCTGAGGGATCGGGTCATCCAAAGAGGGATCATTGCAGTGGGAGTGCAACCTGAAATCAAGAGCATATCGCAGAGTAAGTGTGCACACCGCTTACTACTCGTTTCCTGTAGTTGAAGGCCTCTATAGTAGAGATCAGAAAAAGGAAATACGAGGTTGTTATTTTACTACAAATGAAAACCTAAAATAAAAGCTCCTTACAAATTGTCTCTTTGAAGTACTAAATAATGGAGAAAGTGGGGGGTTTTCTGCTCATTTTTTGTATGCTTTACATTTAACTATGTGCCTTCATTTCTTTCAATGTCTGAAAATGAAAGACAACAAAAAAGATTTTTTTTAGGGTTTTTCTTTTTGTTATTTTGCCCCCTTTTTCATGACTGGAAACAGAGGACTGGAGGAGGAAAAAGAAGCAACGGGTAGAAAATATTCGAGAATCACAAAGTGAATACCAGCTGAAGATTTTAAAAAATACTCAAAAAGAGCTAGCCTTTTAATGCAGCCCTAATAAATGTAAACAAGATGTATCAGAAGATGTACAAGCAAAGATCAGAAACTCGTATCCTATGTGATGACATCCTTCACCTTGTCCTTCACATGCGGTATGTTTGACTTTGCAGCTGTTGGATTGGGAGTGATTAATGGAAAGCATGGTGGCATCCTCAACAAAAAATTATTTGGGAAGAATATGCCACTCTCAAATGTCTCCTCTGGCTTTGCACCAAAGAAAAAAAAAAGAAAAAAGCAATCAAACCAACCAAAAGAAAAAAAAAAGCACAACAAAAACCAGAAGAAAGTGCAAGGAAAGACTGGATTTAATTGGAAGGCGGATTAAAGTGAAAAAATCTATTATCAGCATAACATATAAATATTCTGTGAGCGTCTTAGGACAGAGGAAAAAGCCTTGCAGAGATCAAGACTAACAAGCAGTTTTGGCTCTAATGATACCTCCCTCTGACCATCAGTCTTTCAGCTTATTTTATAATGAGCCTTTCTCAAGGGAAGACGGGCTGTTTGCCTCCAGCCATTGCCATTTAACCCCACGTTGTTACCGCACGCATTTGTAACTGCAACCATAGGTTTACAGATATTTTCCTTGTTTCCTTCCTCCTTTCCTTCGAGAGAGAGAGTCCAGGTTTCCTCCTCGAGCCCCATGCCCATTGTCTATGGGTGCACACCACGAGGTGTGAGCGCGGTGCAGAGGCAGGGAGGATCTATACTCCCTGGCTGCCTCCGAGCACCTTTCCAGACGTGGCCCGCTGAGCACCCATGATCCTGGCTTGGAGCCCAGGAACCCCTTACTGAGGCAGTGACCAGACTTCACCTACCGTGGCCATAAATGAGAAGGAGATTTAATAGTGAGAAGTGTCTGCCCAGAGCAGCTGGTCCCATGAATTGATTAACACCACTGTGGTAAAAGTAGCTGCTTCTGCCCAAGACTAGTCTTACCTCCCTAGCTTTTTTGATTTACCCCAGACTTCCTGCAAACAACCTCACTTTCCAGAGTAAGTACAAATGCAATTATTTTTTTTTCTCTGTGTGAACTAAAATGAAAAAAAGAGAACTCAGATGCAGGGTTTTTAATGGCAGCTAACTTCAAATTCAGTGACAGAATTAGCACATTAACAAGGAGTTGTAGCCGGGTTTAATGCGAAAGCACTCCTTGGAAATCACAAGTACTTACCATTTTGCAGCATCTTCTATTGTCTTTTGTCCAGTAGCAGCCAAGGCTTTTTGCCTAGAAAAAACCCAAAATGTATTCATCAGAAAAACAGAAAGAAAACTCCTAGGAAGTAAAGAATGGATGTGCTGTGGTCACCAAGTTTGTTTTCCAGCACAGACAGGACCTTTAACAACTAGGTGATTCCTGGCAAATATTAATGTTCTTGAATCCCTCTAGATAGTTTTTTTCCCACTGCAAGTCTTTAATGCCTTAAAGATTGGTAACCTGTCCTCCCCACAGGATGTCCTCCTTTGTGTTCTGCAGGTGTTTCCTTAGCAGCCCTACTGACTATACGGATTTCCTTAGGATTGGGTAAACCGTCCATCCACGCACTGTAAGAGCAGAGTTTGCTAGGTTCATAGGATAATGTTCAGGTTCAAGATGCCAGGCCCAAGCCCATGTATACAAACAAAGCAAAACATACTTATATTGGGATCAGAGAGCCATCAGAGAGCCAGATCTAAGCCACCAGTTTGGTTCAAGACGAGGGATGATATCTCATGTTTCTCTCTGTTAATGAAACTGTCATTGTCTGAGATCGGATTTGATTCACATTTTCTTTTCTCACTACAGTTTTCAGAATTACAACTATGTGTTTCACATGAACAAGTCTTTGTGACTAAATGCTAGGTGATGAATGAAGAATTCCAGTGTTTAAGTAGCACCTGCACCCAATAACCCAATTTACAGCCCTGAAACCCATCTACAAACTTCTCAGAAGAGACATGAAAGGAAGGCAGAGACAGTGGACATGGAGTAAAACCTGCTAAATTACTTGGCATCTACTCATAGATTTCATAGATTTCTAGGTTGGAAAAGACCTTAGAGATCATCCAGTCCAACCGTCCCTAATCCCCATTAAACCATATCCCTAAGTAGATCATCCACCCTATTCTTAAACACATCCAGGGATGGGGACTCAACCACCTCCCTGGGCAGCCTATTCCAGTGGCTGACAACCCTTTCAGAGAAGAAATTCTTCCTAACATCCAACCTGAATCTCCCCTGACTAAGCTTATACCCATTTCCTCTTGTCCTATCACCCATTACTAATGTAAAGAGCCCTTCCCCTACCTCCCCACCATCCCTTCTCATGTATTTGTAGGCTGTAATCAGGTTTCCCCTCAGCCTCCTCTTCTCCAGGCTAAACAGCCCTAACTCCCTTAGCCGCTCCTCATAAGTTTTATTTTCCAGCCCCTTGACCAGTTTAGTCGCCCTTCTTTGGACTCGCTCCAGGAGCTCAATATCTCTCTTAAAGCGAGGGGCCCAAAACTGGACACAATATTCCAGGTGCGGCCTCACCAGTGCCGAGTACAGGGGCAGGATCACTTCCCTGCTCCTGCTGGTCACACTATTCTTGATACATGTCAGTATCCCATTGGCCTTTTTGGCCACCTGGGCACACTGCTGGCTCATATCAAGTATCTCATACCAAGAGATACTCATCTCTTTCCTTCTATCTTGAGGGCATCCCTTCTGGCCACTGGGTCCTGAGGGCATCGAATTATTTAGTCTCCTCTCATTTTTATCCTCCATCCCTCCCTATGACATCTGAGCATCAGCAGTGCAATGAGTCCATCAAGCAGCAGGACTCAGGTTTGTCCTTGGTGCTTCCTCCTAACCTTCTGTCTTCTCTACAGAGCAAAAACTATACATGAGCTTGTTAAAACCATTAAATGTACGTATGTGTATGTGCAACCACGCCTGGCTCTTTAGTGAGGGCTCAACATGGATGAGGGCTAAAGTGAGTCTTTCCACTCAAGCTTTAGCTTCTACCTTTCTTCTCCGTAAAGTAAATCAACTACCATGGTCAAATCAGTGCAAAACTGTGAGACAGCTGGTCTAAAACTAGCTTGTGTCCTCTGTGACTGAATACTGCACCTTTTCTTTCCATACCTCTGCTGGTTCACCCTTCTCCATCACATCAAACACAAACAACCTGTGCTTTTGTCGTTCTCCCCATGCAGCCCTTCCTGCCATATCGTGTTGAAATGTCAGTGCCTGCCGCTGCTTGGCCAATGATGCTAGACTTTGTCACCACTTTTTACACTCAAAGTGAGTGTTTTACTGCTTCATGCCATGCTGCTTCTCCTACTTGGTGAGAAGTTCTGTGCAAACAGCCCTGAAGCCGAATGGAACATGAGTTCAGCTTTTCTTTACCATAGGGCCTGCGAAATCATAAACATATTAAGACAAGTGAGACCTGAGACCATGGGACTGTCATGCTGCTCAGCACTATCTCCTTGCTCCCTTGTGCTCCTCAGACACAACTACTGACACAGTTCAGTTCTGTACAAGCACCAGGGGAGGCCAATTTTGTTGATCCGGTGCTAGGCTTGGTTCTCACATATTTGATTTTTGTTCTTTGGGGAAATGTTGCTTTGGCATGCTGGTTCTACATTATGAAAGGTTTTGTAGTATTTCCACCGAGCCTCATTTTTCTCAGGCAAGTACATCTCAAAAGAACAACTTTTCAGTACTTTCATTTACGGTTCAATCCAGGAACTACAGAGACAGCTAAAATGTTTTATAAAAATGCAGTCAAAATTGTGAAGGTCATAAAATAAAAAAAGCAAAGAAATTAAAAAATAAAGTGCTTTTGGACATTTTGTCATTTTATGTTGATTCGCATAGTACTTCTGCCACTGCTTCTTGATTTTGACCTGGGAAGCACAAAGCCATCTCTGTAACAGCAGAAAGTGTTTCGAAGGGGATTTGAAGAGCATCACATACAGGACAGAAAATTCAAAAACTAGTCATTACTTTGGGGTGACCCAACTTACAGTATTACTAGAGAAATGACGAGCCAGGTTTTCAGCTGCACAGCTAAAATTCCACTGCGCATAACCGGGAACAAGAGACCCACAGTTTTCTTGTAAGCTATACCCATCATGTCTAAAGTTGATCCACTAAACACAGCTGCTCCTAAAAAAGCAGCACAGCACTTATGAATGGAGCCTTTTCAACTTACTTAATTTTCAGGCAAAAGGAGAGATAGTGCTCTCCTTTCTGAAATATTTTTGAGGCGTTCTTTGACATTTAAAAAAAAGATTTATTTTTTGAACAATTTGAACTGAAGTGTCCACGTGTGCCCTTCAGAAGCTGCAAAATCCTCCCCAAAACTTCTCTGTCCAACCAGAGCAATGTTTGGGGGAGGAGTGACCACCTCGTTTCTTTTTTATTAACTTGGTTAGCTGCCACCACTTAATCTCTCGTCCATTGCGGTTGCCAAGAATAGTGCCTCATTCTGTACTGTTACATTTTCCAGGTAGGACATGATTTTGAAACAGGATCCTGATTCAAGACAGGAAGAAAAATTGACAGACTTATGTGGAATCTTGTTAAGGAAACCACACTCTTTTAAAATAGTTTCCAGTGACAAAATCCGGTAGGAGATCTTTGCCAGGCCTGAAAAAACTTTGGCTAGAAGTTACATCCTCATTTAACTCCCTTATAATAACAGTGATAAGCAGAAAAAATGAAAGAGGATACATCCCAAGAGTGAACTATGGACATCAACTTCTTAATTTATTGTGGAGCCTCTCAACCTGAAGACATGGAAGGCTGTGTGTCTTCAGATACACACAGTATTTATAAAAATCAATATAGAGCAGGTTGTTTTTGCAATATGAGCACCACACACTGCTCTACAAGAAATTCAGAGCAAGACAGGTCTGATCCCTGTATAGGGACATCACCCCCAGGAAGCAGCACGCTCTCTTGATGAAAAAAGCAAGCTGCCTGTTGTCAGAATCTTACAAGAAATACCCGTTTTATCTTAAATACTTCTTACTGTGCAAAGGCAAGACGAAAACGTTACTCACGCGGTATGAGCCGGGAATCCTTTGGCGAGGAGAGATTCGAGGAGCCCAGAGGTGCTTTTGCTCCTGTGCTTGTTGAACACCTTTGCGTACAGCTGTGTCTCAGCCACTGCCATCTCCTCTGTTCTTCTCGTGACCACGCGCCGAGCGCTGACAGAAATTGGGAGGAGGGAGGAGGGTGCGAGGGAGGGAGGGAGGAAGAAAACGAGAGAAAGAGAAAGAGACAGAGGTAGCTGAAAAAACCCCTCCAACCTCAAACCTCTCTGATCTTTTCTGACAAAAGCTGACATCCTGTTTTCGTAGCATCTGCATCTCTAAATTTTTGGTTTAGGGTGGCTAAAAAAGCAAAAGCTATCTGCAGGCTTTTCTCATACGCCTCAGCAGAACAAGACTGGTAGCCCAAAGTTAAACACTGCAGTCAGGGTGGACTTGCTGAAGGGTCTGCGATGGAATCTTTTAGCCTTTCATTTTAAATTGTCTTCTGAAAGCCAAGAAATCCACCAGAGCTTCTTCTGCAGCGTTGGGGGAGGTGACCACGGATGTCATGCAGCATGTAAGAAGTTAGTCTGTAGGCCAAATTCTTTCCTTTTGGGCTTCATTTTCATGTCCTCCCGTCCCTATTATATATGGCTCCTGCTTTGGTCTTCTCAGCCAAAGGTGATGAGCCAGCTAGCTGTGCAAGGTCAAACCCAATGTCCCATCTAGACGTCATGCTTTGAAGCTGGTCTTGGAGCATCTCATGGTGGCAGCAGGGAGAAGCCTGTCCCTTCCGGTGGTGCCAATCTCACCACAGGAGCCTTTGAAGAGCTGCGCTGGCTGGTCCCCAGGGTTCCCAGCATCGCCAGAGCAGGTGGAATGGTTGAAGACAATTTTCTCTGGCTTGGGCTGTCCTTATTGAAGGTACCACCACTCCCTGGGGAGGACAGACTGAAAACGTCACCTGAGCTGCTGGTCTCCTGAAATGAGCCCTCACTTTCGCTCCCTTGACTGAAGTTCTCCTTGAGGCACCTGGCCAGTTTGGGCTATTTCTCCAACTGTTTGTCTCTGAAGCCTAGTGAGGAGAGCATCAGGGAACTGTGAGGAACTCAGGAAGTGTGGCTTGCTTTATACATCCCTGTCTGCTTTCTTTTTTTTTTTTCTTACATCCCCCAGTGTTTCCCATTTCTAGTGAAGGCTACTGAAAGAGTGGCACAAGAGATGATGAAGAACTTTTGATGTCATGGCCCAGATGCAAACAGTTAACAGGATCATGACATGGCGTCCTCTCCTTTGAAATTTCCAGTTTTCATCATGCACAAAAACGGGACTGAACAGCTTCCCTCATCGCAACCATGTTCCAGGGACATGAGCTTTGTCGTGGAAAACCTTCATGTCTTCCCCAGCCTCTCAGCAGCCTTGTTTCACGTACATTGCTGTGGATTTTTGCTTCATCTCTCATCCTCCTTCTTCCCTCTACCCTCCCTTCTGCCATTGATCTCTCTTCTTTGTAAAAAAAAAACAAGCCAAATTATTACTGCTCTTGAGCATTTTATGAAGCTGAGCATATATTTTCATTTTCTAAATCCCAGAATATAAATGAGTTGATACTTCAGAAACATGAGATACTGCTTGCGAAGCACTTCCAAAATATTGTGCAACATTCAATTATAAAAGCTATCCATAACTAAAGTATAGGTCTTTTTCAAAAACCCTCTTTAAGCGTGCTCTTTGCTGCAGGCACACAGGAAAGGCTAAACCAAGTGAAGGAAGACCGAGGTGTGCCTATGGGCCTTGCATGCCAAAGAGAAGCGCCTGGGGCTTCTGCCTTCTGCCACCCACTGCTACTGGCAGCCTCCCCAGCTGCGTGAGTTTTGATAAAAGATGAGCAAGCTTGAGCCTGTGCAGTTTGTGGTGCTCCTTCGCTGAGGGGTTACAGAAAGGTTTGCAAGCACAACGATATTACCTGAGGCTCTTAGGCTAATTAAAAAAAAAACGTGCTGAATTTTTATCTACCTCTTTACATAGCCGTGCCATCCGGGGCTACCCGATACCCCTCCCTGGGTTGAATTACATGGGCTGCTGCCATAGTGCCATATGCAACAGATGATTGAACGGGCAGCGGCGGGCAGCTCACTGAAAACCCTTCCAGAGCAGACTGGCTTAGCAACCTCAGAATTTCCTTTTGGTTTCTCTTGATAATGAAGAAAGAAAACAGCTTTGCTTTTAACTATGACTTCTCAGGAAGAGGTGAGTGAAGCTTTGCGAGCATGTGATACCCTCTAAAACTACACATCGGTGTTCGGCTTTCGTGTAGTGTACTTCACAATGCTGTTTTGTCTCCCGATGGACAACTTACACACCAGTGAGAAGGCACTTTTTTTTTTTAATATTTAAAAATCATGCACAGCAAGCTGTCCATTTCTCTGCCTTAATGCCAGGAGATTCAATATAAAATTTAATTTATGTTCATTGGAATGTACATGAAATTTTATCAAATGAAAGAGTAGAAACCTTATTGCAGTTGTTCACTGAAATGTGAAAAGATATCTTAGGTGACTTAAAGATATAGTGTCACTGAGAAAACATGTATTCTTTGCCTAAAATGTGTCATTGTAAACATTTTCTGGCACTGACTCTACAAATACTCATGCTGCTTTTACAGCTTACCAGCACCACCATTTTTAATGAATCTGGATCTATTTCACACCACTGGGAGTACAAAAATCTGGCTCCTTTTGCCAGTGACAGTGTGCAGGACCAGAGTCAGAAATTAGCATTTCAGAACTATTTACCCTGAATTCTAGTGTAGCCTGTTTCAATTGTTTTTCAACATGTAGAAAATGACCAAAGGTTTTCTGGAGTAAAATTCAGTGGGCCTCTTCATGAGGATCCTGTCAAGTGCCGTGCAGATGTCATATGCTTTTTAGTCTTTCTCTTGTTTCCTATTGAAATTAAAGAGCAGAGGATGGATTCACACCCCCAGTGTGAGTTACCAAAAGTAGCTACGGTGCTTAGACAAATTTGAACAAAAATTGACTTCATTAGGCTGCTGGTAAATTAATTATAAGAGCTCCTTTCATGAAGTATATAACTTAATGTATTGCTTCCAACTCTGCAGTCCTCAGCACAGGAAAGACATGGACCTGTTGGAGCGAGTCTAGAGGAGGCCACAAAAATGATTCAAGGGCTGAAGCACCTCTCCTCTGAAGACAGGCTGAGAGGGTTGGGCTTGTTCAGCCTGGAGAAGAGAAGGCTCTGGGGGGACCTTATAGCAGCCTTCCAGTACCTAAAGGGGCCCTACAAGAAAGACAGGGACAAACTTTTTAGCAGGGTCTGTTGCAATAGGACATGGGGTAATGGTTTTAAACTAAAAGAGGATAGATTTAGACTGGATATGAGGAAAACATTTTTTACGACGAAGGTAGTGAAACCCTGGAACATGTTGCCCAGAGAGGTGGTAGATGCCCCATCCCTGGAAACATTCAAGGTCAGGTTGGACAAGGCTTTGAGAAATCTGATCTAATTGGAGATCTCCCTGCTTATTGCAGATGGGTGGGACTAGATGACCTTTAAAGATCCCTTCCAACCCGAACTATTGTATGATAACATTTTGTAAGGTGATTATCTTCTTTTTTTTTTTTCTTTTTTCTCGTGTTGAGTCAGGTACAAGAGACAAATCCCACTACTGGAAGTCTTGAAATCATCTCTATTACAGAAGATGTACCAGTACCAGAAATTCAGTTTTCCTTCAAAAGATTTTTCTTCATACCACAAGCAAAAGTGGACCCCAGTGCAGATGGATCTGGTAGGGATATTGCACAGCTTTTTGACCTTCGTAATCTAAATGGCTAATTTGGTCTTTAGCCTTGCAAAACTATGCTTGCCCACTCAGTCAGAGAAAGCAATCACTTAGAGGAAGAAGAAACACAACCTCACTCCCCCAGCTGTGAGATTTGCCAGCGTATTAATAGGTGATGACTCCTTGTGTCGGCTTGCATAGGCAAACATTTTTCACAGCCAGATTATTCACACAATTCAGCCACATATCAAATATTTGCCCATGCTTTTCAGACACGTTTTTGAATGGCTTATTTGAAATTTTACCAACCTGAAAATTGGTCTATTAAAAAACTGAATATACAATATAGCAGCCATATAGCAACCTTGGAGGAATAGCATGCATGCTTGCTACTTTTCCCTTAGGTTTCATGGCAAAAATAACCTTTAACTCTAACAGAGGCAGGCTGAGCATCAAGGATGAAGATAGAGCAATTTAATTTTCTAGTCCATTAGCTACTACAGCTGTCTAAGATTTTTGACATACCAGATGTCAACTCCATTGCCAAAACCAATTACTCAGCTGCTGCTGAGAGAGTCTGTGTAGGCTGGGATTTACTTGTGAATTTATAAACACTGGGAGACACTCCTCATCCTTGACTGATTGCAAGTGTTTCCCAATCTCAAATTCAAAGCTTGAAGAATGAGGGGGTGAAGAGCCGCATGAATTAAAATTGAAGACAAGGTTCTGCCACTTTCTGTGTGTACCCATGACCGAGCTGTGTATGCTACTTTCCCACAGTTTGGCCTTTGTATATCAGAATACATTTGAAACAAGTGAACCATTCATTATTTTCAGTGGAATTTGTTGTCGTCTTCCAGATTGACAATACCACTAAGTTGAGGTCAGCTATGGAGGTGGCTGGTGAGCAGGACTGGTCCAGCTCATGAAAAGTATTCAGTAATTTCTGCTAATTTATATTTTAACTGTAGATGCATCTTTCTTCCTTGAAAACTCAAAATTCAGCCTTGAGTTCTTGCTCAGTTCTCTCCTTGTCTTTATAGCAAAACTTTGAACAGATCATCATCTTTTCTCATATTTTTCAAGACTAGTTTGGGGGGCCTGTTTATTGCAAATTTAGCTTTCCACCATTTTCAGTTATCCTTGCTTCCAAGTCAAAAAGGACCAGTGACTTTTCTCCTTCTTGTCGTAACACCTATTTACTATCCAGTCCTGTTTTTTTCCAGTATCCCTGCTTCTGTTCAAATCTTGAGGCTCCTCTTACTTGTTTCCATGCCTCTGTTACCTCAACTCTGGAGGAATGCCTCACACACTGGACTTAGCTCCCCGTTGCATGAG